AGGTTTAAAAGTGTCAATGATCATCCGTATGATTCGTACGCTTCCACGGCAAACGCACAAATAAATCAATACGATATTCGTGAGTATAATAAAAACCATTATAGATATCGTCATCGCCAGAACTATGTTCAACCGTCAAGTTTTCGTAAACTCGAATTACAAAGAATATATAATAAATTTAATAATGATGCACACACATACAATAACAACTCTGAAAGTTATAATAATCGTAGACCATACCGTGGTAAGTCAGTCAGTCCAACACGGAATCAATATCGTCGCAATCGTAATGCTTATAACAATGGTAAATAAAGTTACAGTCAAAGTAGATGTGACCAGGACTCCAAATCGGTCGTCCATAAGCATGTAATCATATATTTACGAATTCTAATATATATAACTTTTTTAAAAAAATCATTTTAAAAAGATTTTTTTATAAACAGAATTTTTTTCATAAACAGAATAATTATAAAAATACTTTAAAAATATATATCTATATTAATTATTTTAAAATAATTAATTTAAATATAAATAATTAAAATTTAATTATTTTTAAAAGCAATGGCTTGAATTATATTTGAGCAAAAATAAAATATTAACACAAATAATGTTACTTTATATAAAATTGGTCTTTATCTAGTTTTTTCGCTATTTATTAAATTTATTTTAAAAATAATAATTTAAATGAAATAAAATTGTGTTAACTATTTTAAACCTTCAAAACAGTTAAAGATTACTTAACTTATCCAAAAAGAAATATATTTGTAACTTTTAATAATAATAATGAAACTATTTTTAAAATTAATCATAAAATAAAAAATGTCTGTAAAATTGATTTTTAAGTTCTACAATTGAAGAGATTTTACCATGTTTTGATTAATATATTAATTCTTAATATACATTATGTATATACAAATAAATAATAAATACGGAAACGAAACAAGAAAATCTAGAATTATCATATTCTTATATTCAAATATCGACTTAATTGATTTGCTACTATATTCTATAATTCATAACAACCAAAAAGAAATATATATAAAATATATATGTATAATATATATCTGTAATACATGTACATGTATTTATATATATAATGTTAATGTGTACCATATAATACAAATATGTATGACACATATATAAATATATATAATACCACACCATAAGAGAATAAATTACTATTAAAACAATATATATAAGAAAAACATATAATTAATTAAATAATTAAAAATAATTAAATAATTAATTATAAAATATTTTAGTATATATTTTTTTAAATTTACTTACTAGTATAAGCTTTAAATATTTACTGTATTTATATAAATGTTTTTCATTACTAATTGCAGTTAATAACGAATAAAATATTGGTGTTCAAAAATATTTTTTTTTTCGGCTTAAAAAAATTTAGCGCCCCGAAAAATTATAGGCCAACTACAGAAGCACCCTAAAGTGACCGTTTTTATTATACTTAATTGAATTAGTTTTTGAAAAATAATATCGACTTAATTTAAGCATTACCATTTTGATATGACGATTTAATTATAATCACATTATAATTATAATTATAATTATAATTATAATCACATCTTAATCTTTTTTAAACTAATCGTTTCAATTATAATTCTTTTCATGAAACTTATGTGACTTAGTGCGTATACTTCCATGTAATCTCGATTACCTTGTTTAGTATTTAAATCTAATTTGTATGAAGATTAAAGTAAGAAAATTAATGCTGAAGCTCTACTTTCACTCCATGCAAATAAACTTTAACTAAATTATTCTATAGTTGTTAGCTGTTGGGTGTTGGGTGTTTTGTGTTGGGTGTTCCACGTGTGGGTCTTTGGGTGTTGGGTGTTTTGGGTGTTGGGCACCGTGAGTTTAGTGCACTTCATTAACAAAAATTTGTCATGACTTTTCCAAATTGAAAAGCATCAAGAAGGGAAAAATAAAACAGAATAGAAAAATCAGAAGAAAAATGAAACTCTGCAATGACAAGTGAATTGTTTTTATTTAGTTGTCGGACATGAAAAATGTTGTCATTCCAAATCGCTCATTCGTTCATTCGTTGATGCTGCATGTTAAAGTTCAACAGAGGAACTTTCATGTCATTGTACAGTACTAACATAAATTGAACTAAAAAAAAAAAAAAAAATAATAACAACAATAGTAGCATTACCATCAACAGTGTCTAAAGACAAAGACATCAAAACAAAAAAGCAAAAAAAAATATAAGTTAATGAAAATATATAATCCAGTCTAAAGGACGTAGCATGTGAACTACGATTTTTAAATAGAGCTATGCTATAATATAAGGATATGTTGTGCAAATATAAAGAGTGACATATATATAAATATGTGAAAAAAAAATTTAATTAAATATTTATATTTCAATAAATATCAAATTTTTGGTTCCTTTTAATACATATTTTTAATTGTTATTTAGACAGTTATTAGTTATAATTTAAATTTACATTTCTTTTATATTATGGTAAAAAAATTTTGATATACGACGTTGAATTGAAGATATCTATTGACAAATTGAGTCAATAGATAAGGCTGTACTTTTTTTTATCCGGCTATAGGTCACTTTTAGTTAAATAACTCAACGTAGGCTTAATATTTTTTAACATATTCTATATTTCGGCTTTCCTTGAGAGTCATCATCAGGATTACGATCTAACATAAATTAATATTTATAAATCTATAACTACGTCATTATCTTTATTCTATTGCCTATATTGCACACACTTCAATGCTTTAATAAATTCATAACGAAATACGTTAATTTTTTTCAAGTCATTTAACTTTTTGTGTACCCTATTAAATATATATAACTATTTTGTAATCAAGCAAATTGAACTTACTGCTTTTCCCTAACAAGTTTATCCTAACAAGTTTATTTTTATATCCTATAATTATAATCGGTTTTTCTATAATCCATTCATTTTCCATTATCAGTTTAAATGTGTAAAAAAAATATGTATATAATTTATATATATTTATATATATATAATTACTAAATGAAATATTCTTTATAATGAATTATTTTGAAAAGCCTTATAAAATGTGCCGTGGTGCTACAACGGCTCAATATTTGAGCTCAAGTGGGCTTTGAGCACAAGGTCACTACTCCAATCTAACCTAATCTAAGCTTATAAAATGCAGCTCATCCAACGATTTGAAACAATGAACAATCATTGTGTGAATACTTTGAAAATTGGAGCTTAGAGTAATTTCAGGCAGTATTCATTAATCAAAAAATCATCATAAGCATTGATAGATTGGATAGATTTGATGTGATTTATGGTTTAAAAATAATTATAATTGATTTATATTTTTTTGAAAACTTAAGTGATATTGTAGCAAGTATTTATGCTTTGCTTAGTGAAGAATTATTGGGTCACTGTGTATTGCGACATTATTTCAACAGTTGTGTGTTCTTAAAAGTTGACTATATAGAAGAGTATCTATATCCTTGTTCAGGATTATAGATAAAGTAACTCTAATATTATC